TCAATTAAACTAAGAGTATACAACTACAATTAACTTAAAAGGAAGAAAAGTGACGTCTAATCGTATCAAGTTTACGCTCTCTCTTTTCCGTTAAAAAATGGCTGATATATTTCTATGTACGCTCTTACATTTTTTTATATTCATACTTTTAAAAGTTTAAATGATACACAGTCGTGGACACACTAAAATGCAGCTGTATCAAAAAGAAAAGGAAATTTTGTATGTTAGAGCGTATATACACTGGCAACCGTTGAAGTCCTTGGCTGCCCCTGCATCATCCTGGTGCTTAAAAAAATTTACAAAGAAGCTTTTGGGCCATGAAAAGAACAAACAAAATTCATAAACCACATATTCAAGAAAATAGCATGAAAATAAAAAGATATTTTTTATAAAATCTCTAAATTATCAGTTATCCTTTTCTTGGCCACTATCAAAATATAAAACGATCAAATCACCTGCAGCTACAGCTGGTTTAGGCGTTTCACGCATTAAAGGACTGGTAAGAGTTACGCTAACAGTCACACTGCCTCCTGAAACAGTTAATGCAGCTGATTCTGGATGCTTTCCAACATTATAAGTATCTTCTGGAGCTACGATTTTCAATTGTGCTGGAAGAATCTCAGCAACTTTGTTTAACAATGATCTGTAAAAAGAAAAATATTTATAAGTCACTTTATAAAAAATATTTAATATATATATGTATAAAGATATACATTTTTTCCAACTGACCGTGTTGGTTTTTCTGCACACAGAACAACAAGGCATACATGATTATCACCAGATAATAAAAGTCCTTTTGCCAAATTGCCGACACGCATTACACCTCTTAATATTCTTGAATCTTCTTTTTCTTTTTGGAATGAAAACAAATTACCATCACTACCATCTTCTTTTTGTGGTGTTGTTGTTTTCTTCTTATCAGAATCTTCTTTAATTTTTACTGGATCTGCATTTTGTTGTTGTTGTGGTTGTTGTTGTTGTGATTGTTGCTGTGAAGTTGTAGTTGGTGCTGTTGCTGAGGCATTAGTAGTTGGTGGTGCTGTTTTTTTGCCTACAATTATAAAGATATATATAATATAAAAATAAAAATAATTATAAACGCATAATAAAAGATAATAAAATAATAGAAAAAATAATTACCAGCTTCTGCTAATGTATCAGATACAAATTTCAATGCTTTTTCAGTATGAGAAACGATTTTTTGAACTGCCAGCAGTTCTTGTTCTTTAGGATAAATAGTTGTATGATGAGCTAATACATGCTTATCATCAGAAGAATCCGGCCTTCTTTGAGGTCCAGGAAACATCATCATCGGAGGTGGTCCTGGGAAAGGTCGTGGTATCGGTGGAGCTCCAGGCCCGCGTCCATAACGTCGATACCATTCATAATATTCACATTCTTCTTCATAACGTCGTCTTTCTTCCCAATACATCATTTCTTCATCCATCATTGGACCCATAGGTCCTAATTGATTAATTTCTTCTCTACGGCGTAGATATTCATCTCGCATTTGTTGCCTACGTAATTTTTCTTCTAGCATTTTTCTTTGTTTCAGACTTGGTTTCATATCAACAACTAAATCTGGATTAACTTTTTTCTTATAAGCAAATCTATGCCGCCTTCCTTTCATATGCATATCTTTGGCATTAGGATCATTAAATCTGCATTCACAAAGCTTACAATTAAAACTTATAATTTTTCCATCTTCTGATTTATTTTCCTCTATATATTCTTGACCAACTGGTTGAATATCTTTTTCATCAACAGCTGTTTCTTCTACAGTTTCCTCTGTTGCAGTTTCTTCAGATTTAATTTCCGCAGTTTGATTTTGATTTACAGTTCCCAAATTTCCAGCTTTAAATATACATAATATTATTAATAAATTTTCAATTTATTATAATATTTATATACAATTTAATTTAAAACTTTGTATTTATAAAAAAATTACTTACAAGCAACAAAGTTAATTTTAGGAGTAGCTGTTACTGTCGGTTTCTTAGCTCCTGCTGTTTTAGCTGCTGCTGCTGGTTTTGGATTTAAGACAGTTGGATCTGCACTTGGTATTGGTTTTCCAAGTTTAGTATGTAACTTAACGACCTTTTGATGTTTTGCTCCTCTAATATGAGCAGCATATGCATCATTTCCAGTACAAGTAACATCACAAAGTTCACAACGCAGACTGTTGCCTGCTCCACGTGCCGGTGGTTGTTGTGGTACTTTCAGAGAAGCTTCCTTCTTCTTATGCTTCTGACCCTCCAGATGTTCACGATATGTTTGAGGTCCAGCACAGCTGATCTTACAGACATCGCAATAGTGTAGTTGTTGAGGCTTAGGAGGCTGCTTGGGCCGCATTGCCTTCATTCCTCCCCCTCCAGTGCCAAATCCCTTCCGTCCGTAGCCCTGCCAACCTCCAGTCTTCTGGTTAGTTGAATTGCTGTTTGCACTCTGTTGGGCTACATACATAGTCGCAGCGCTATATAGCGCTGCGTCGTAGCCGGAATACGTTGTACTCGCCGTTTCTAAGGGAAATGAAATTGAAACCTCAAACTTTGGAGGAGTCAATCCTTTATATTCATGAAACAATTCTACTAACTTGTATCCATCAAAATGAATTCATTCTTTTGATGAAATTATCAAGTATATTGTATAATAATCAAAAAATCTTTATACGATATTAATTTTATAATTTTAAAAAAATTCAATTTTGCTAAACTTTTAAACCACATTATGATTTAAAATGTTAGCAAAATTTTATATATCATCCATATGTACAATTTGAACAGCCAGAGGATCAATTTCATGTTATTAGTGCCTACGTCACGGTTAGCAGGACATTTACATAGGATTTTCAATTTTGGCGAAAAATATTAACATATATGTACATATAATGATTTAATGAAAACTTACTATTTGTCGCTGTTGATGGTGTAGCAGCGGGTGTAGCAGGTGCTGTATATCCAGAAGAATATGTAGCACTTTGAGTAGGATTAGATTGTTGATAAGCTGTACTTGAAGCTTGGTATGTTTTAGCTTGTCCAGTAGTAGTAGCTTGTCTTGCTGTACCCGTGTAAGCACTAGTTGTACTATATGCAGGTTTTGCAGCTTGATAATGTGTCTCTGTAGTAGTATAAGTGGCTGCAGCAGCAGCAGGTTGTTGGTAGTAAGTTTTAGCTGCGTCGTATGTAGCTGCAGGAGCAGCACGTCCGTAACCGTAATCGTATGTTTGAGCCACAGTACCAGGATTAGCAGCTATAAAGAAAAACAGAATTAGATAGATTTTGTAAAATCCTTAACACATGAGAGTTGTATACTTAATAGAAAGAGAAGAAAAAGAAAATAAAATTAATTAAAATAAACTTACCAGCGTATGTTGTCCCAGTAGCAGCTGCAGCAGCGGCTGCTTGATAAGTTTCGTAACCTGTAGCTGCAGCGGCAGCAGGTCTTTGAGTG